TTCAGCATATCAAAGAACCCCAAGAATTCAATTTTTGATGAAATCAAACAAAGTTTAAATTTGGACCCTTTTGACCTCAATATGAACCAATTTGATAGTGGGTCCACAAATAAAAAATCTAAATACATGGTTAGATTCAGCATATCAAAGAACCCCAAGAATTCAATTTTTGATGAAATCAAACAAAGTTTAATTTTGGACCCTTTTGACCTCAATGTGGACAAAGTTGATAACGGGGCCCAAAAATCAAAAATCTAAATACATGGTTAGATTCAGCATATCAAAGAACCCCATATATTCAATTTTTGTTGAAATCAAACAAAGTTTAATTTTGGACCCCGATTTGGACCAACTTGAAAACTGGGCCCATAATCAAAAATCTAAATACATGTTTAGATTCAGCATATCAAAGAACCCTAAAAATTCAATTTTTGTTAAAATCAAACTAAGTTTAATTTTGGACCCTTTTGACCTTAATGTAGACCAATTTGAAAACGGAACCAAAAATTAAGAATCTAAATACACGGTTAGATTCGGCATATCAAAGATCCCCAATAATTCAATTTTTGATGAAATCAAACAAAGTTAAATTTTGGACCCTTTGGACCTCAATGTGGACCAATTTAAAAACGGGGCCCAAAATCCAAAAACTTAATACACGGTTAGATTCAGCATATTAAAGAACCCCAAGAATTCAAGAATAAAACCCCATTGAAATTGATCAAGAAATAAGCAATTTATACGAAGTATCTTCTTTTGCACAATACTGTGCAATTGAATATTTCTTGCTATTGTGCAATACTGTACAATTGACAATTTCTTGCTATTGCGCAATATTGTGCTATTGGATATTTCTTGCTATTGCGCAATACTGTGCAATTGAAGATTTCTTGCTATTGCGCAATACTGTGCAATTGAAGATTTCTTGCAATTGTGCAATACTGTGCAATTGAAAATTTCTTGCTATTGCACAATACTTATTATATAAAAATTTACACATCCTGTTTGGTGTGTATCTCCTACCATATCATTATTATTTGCTTTTAAATATTAATCAGAAATAACCAACTTAAAATGGAAAATTTTAAAAGAAAAAAAAAAGGAAAAAAAGAAAAAAAAAGAAAAAAAAAAATCCCCCCCCAAATTTTTTGAACCCCCTTATGATTCATCACCCCCAAACTCAATCCAAGCCTTCCCTTTGTGGTATGGTACCTTGCAGTACAATTTCAGAGAGATCCATACACTTGAACACAAGTTATTGTCTGGAAACTAGAAAAATGCTTATTTTTGGCCCCTTTTTGGCCCCCAATTCCTAAACGTTTCGGGCAATTACCCACAAACTCAATTCCAGCTTTCCCTTTGTGATATGGAACCTTGTAGTACAATTTCAGAAATATTCAAACACTTACACACAAGTTATTGTCATGAAACTAGAAAAATGCTTGTTTTTTGCCCCTTTTTTGGCCCCTAATTCCTAATATTTTGAGGCAATTACCCCCAAAATCAATTACAGCCTTCCCTTTGTGATATGGAACCTTGTGGTACAATGTCAGAGAGATCCATACACTTACACACAAGTTATTGTCTGGAAGTTACAAAAATGCTTATTTTTGGCCCCTTTTTGGCCCCTAATTCCTTAACTGTTGGTACCATAACCCCCAAAATCAATCCCAACCTTCCTTTCGTGGTATTGAACCTTATGGTAAAATTTCATGGAGATCCATTCACTTAAACTAAAGTTAGAGTGCTAAAACCAATGTGTCTTCGGACGACGCCGGACGACGCCAGACGATGACGACGACGACGACGACGACGCCAACGTCATACCAATATACGACCAAAAAATTTTCAATTTTTGCGGTCGTATAAAAAAACGACCAATAGACATCTAAAGGCTAACATTCAGTCTTCAATACTAGAGTAAGATCTATATCACCAAGCCCTAATGAGGGTAGGAATGCCCTTTACCGTCAGAGGTCAAACGGTCATTTCTGGCTACCGTTTGCTTCAAATTGGTTAAAATTTTACCGTGATTCGTCAAAATATCAGTATCGTGATTCGTCAGAGGTCTCAAATAATTATCGTTACCATTATTTTTGGAAGAAATTTAACGTGATTCGTCAAAATTAGTCAATTTTTTTATCGTCTAAAAGAAAGTGTACATTTTATCGTCATGCACCAAAAATTAACGTTAACGTCATTTGGCAAGAATTTTTACCGTTATTCGTCATAAAGGTACCCCCATTACGACCCTCCTAAATAGCACAATGACTAGACTAGTGCATGAATCTTAAAGAGACTACATTGGTCAAGTACTAAAGATCTGCCATAAACACCACAATTCCTAAAAAGACAATAGCATCAAAGATAAAACTAATAATAACCAGATACATCTGATGCTAATCCACCATTTTGAAAAAAGGGGGTGAGGAGGGCCTCCCGAATAGGCAACATTTGGAGTGGACCAGGTAAAAAGTCTATGCATTAACCATATATGTAACTCAATAAGGGGGGCCGGGCACCCTGGGCTTCCTAAATCCACCTCTGTACATGTTTCTGATATGTAACATTCTCATTAACATTTTTAAGGTCGCTGCATACAGAAAAGCTACATGTATCAGTGAATTAGAGTACAGGAAGTCAATAATTCAATAGAAGTTCATTTCTGACGATTTTGATAAGATAAAGGATTATCTTTTAAAAGAAAGTCCATGTTCAAGTGTTTTATACAGTATGTAAGAATAAGAGGCTGCCGAACAGTATGTGTAATAAAAATTTATAAAACTTATTCAACTTGTTTTTTAAATTTTGAAGTATTTTATGAATTTCACCATGGACAGTATTTTTCAGAACTCTTGGTTCTGTTTGATTAAATCATGCATTTATACTTGTCATACATTCATTCAATAAAAGCATTATTTCCTTCAATCATATTCAAAGTTGTTGGCATTTGTCTACATTCCCTAACAGCTGTATAGCACGATGCACAGGAGACTTATTAATCCACTCAATGGACATGCTGTTCATTTTGTTGTTAAACAAGTAAAATTTGAAGACGACCATGACGACTCAAAAATCAAAATAAATTTTCCCTTTATGCCAAAGATGCATTTGCAATTTTAATTTAGCACTTAAAAAATAAAAATTCCATCAATCTTCCAATTCATTACCAATATTTGTTTTTAAATTTCCTTTTTTAAATATTGCTGCCTAAACGTGACTTTTTTTAAAACCAACATAGCTTTAAAATTCCTGCCTACTAATTTGATTGCCCTATGCTGTTGCTACAAAAATTTCAATGTTCTGTAGGCAGACATTGCTTCCACTTTGTTATTATATATAAAATCAAAAGATTTGTAGACAAATACAATCTCATGCAAACTATCAATAGCTGTGAATTATTAACAGTTATATTTTCAAGGTTGGTCAAAAGAAATACATCTTTTTAGTAGGGAGTGTCCTTACATATTTCAGCTTATGCATGGTATATCTCTGAACTGTCTTTTGCATGGAAAAAACTGTTTATATAAATGTATGGAGTAATTGTCAAAATGACTGAGATTAATAGTTGTCCTTTTATAAACTATTATTAAGGAGTTCATGAAATACATTGTAAATTTATAGTTTCATTTCAGATAATCAATTCTATCAAAGACAACTTACTGAATACATGAAAGAGAGGCAAAAGATAACAGTGTGATAGCCAAAGTCATAAGTTGAATGTAAACTGACAACACCATGGAAAAAAACAAATAACAATGAAAAAGACAAACAACAGTCTACACATTACAACATAGAAAATTAAAACACATACACCATTAAAAACAAGGGGTGATCTCAGGTGTCATGTAGTCAACTCCTTTTAAAAACATTGATAAGTTATTTCAAGTGACTAGACATCACACAATAGCAGATAGCTAATATTGATTCTTATTCAACCATAAGACAACACATTCTAAAGTGTAATTGCCTTGGAAATTGTTATTTTTTTTTTATCTCATTTCAAAAGTAACTTCATATACATTTTTTTTCTTGAATCTGTATTGAAAAATTATTATACATGTATTGCATGCCATAAGGAAAATAGAAAACAGGAACTTGTAAATGAAAGTAGCTGTAAATAAAAGTGCATATTTTAAATATTATAAGTGTGTACGAATCCCAACATTCTAAACAGTACATTTGTACTTTTCCTTATGTTTACTCTGACAGAATAAATTGTAGTTTATCAGTCAACTTATTATCAATGATGTACAAAGTTTAAAATATTTTGCTTATCATGCTTCTGCTATGGTACTTTATTTTTCATATCTTTTGGACTTTATCAAAATAAGAAGTGGTATGATTGCAGTTCAAGACAACTATCCATTACAGACCAAAGGATTATTTTTCGACAATAATTTAGTAGTAAATGAGATTTCTACAGCTGATCATTGCTCCTTGAAAATAAAATGGACCTGCAATAAATGCTTTAAATTAAAAAGGTTATAATTACATGTACATGCATACTGTTTTTGTCCAACAACCCCCCTTTTCCAGTGGCAGTCTATTAAGGATTCCCATCCTTTATCCTGGTTGACCTAAATTGTAGAACTAATCTATAATATTATTTGTTACATTGTTCAGGTCCTGAATTAGCATGATATAATTTGCCACTGGACATTAAACAAAACAACAATCATTCAATATAGTCCGACATGTATCTTGTTCAATCATTCCATCTATTATTATTTTATGAACATCAATTTGTAAAATATGAATTGAAAAAAGGCTAAAAGTTTCCATTTTCTGCATTGATATTATGTTGTAGATTTACTCTGGTTTTCATGGTTATTCATCAGCTGTTCATGTCTTCCCGTACTTTTCAGTTTTATGGGGTCATGATTTGCTGTGACTGAGACGGTTACTCTAATTTTTCTTATGACTGTTAACACCAAACAAGAACAAAACAACTTTGAACTCAGGGTTTGTGTGGGAAAGCTAGCCGTTAATTCTGATACCTGTTTCAATTAATTCGTGTATTAATTTAGCATATTGAAATTGCTATTAGCATGACTACTGGAACATAACTACCGTCAAACTTTCTATAAATCATTACCGGACACTACACTTTGTGACTAAAATTGGAGAAGTTACGGGAAAGGTTTAAATCGCGGAAGTCACGGTTGCGAGTACTGAACCTGGGACTATTAGTACACTAACCTGGGAATAGTCTACTAAAATAATATATAAGTACTATACTGCACGAGAAGGTAATTCCAAATAAAAGACAAATGAAAATATATTTTCTTTAGGATACAGATGAATTCTTTATACTTATTAATATGTCGTTCAGAAGGCAAAACTTTTAAAAAAAACTTGTTAAAAAAGAGGTAACACCATTCTGGGAACAGTATATAATATATATGTTCCTGCACCATTGTATTATATGTCTCTAGTAGCATCAATTTCCCCTGAATTTTATTTCACACCAGGGTCATTTTCATTTACAAGGTCATACAATCTTTACAAAAGTTCATAAAATCAGTTTCATTCAGTACTTTGTGGTTCTAACAATATTTTGACTTATTACCGTAGCCAAACCATATGACCAAATAAGGATAGCTCAAAATTTCAACGAATTTTGACAAATTTTGCAATTTGTTGTATAGTATATCAAATATATTTTGGCCTCTAGCATCACTGAAGAGACATTAATTAATTGTCGAAATGCGCTTCTAGGGTGCAATAAAATTGGTACCGTTTATATTATCAATGTTTAAAATAAATTGCTTCGCCGAGCGCAGCTGGATACGACCGCAGAGGTCCAACCCTGAACAGTTGGGGCAAAAATGGACACAATATTCGTGCTTGATACAGGTCTGAATATGGATTGAAATTAAATGTTTGACACATAATAGGTTTCTGACACAGAATAACTGTAGTCAAAGAACTAAGAATTGGTTATATGATTTGAATTTATATTCAATTTTTTGCTTTTGTGCAATACACTATGCTGTTGCGAATTGCCCCCCCCCCCCCCTAAAAAATTTGCCCCTTTTGTTTTTGCTTTTGTGCAATATACTTTGCTGTTGCGAATTGACCCCCCCCCCCCCAAAAAAAAAAAATCAAAAAATCACCCCCCTTTTTTATTCACCCCACCCCTATTTTTTTTACAACAAAAAAATAATATTTGAAGAAATTTTCTTTTTAATTTCTGAAATCTGTAATGAGAAAAAAAAATTGTTTGAGCCATTACCCCCAAAGCCAATTCTAACCATCCCTTTGTGGTATTGAAACTTGTTGTACAATTTCAGAGAAATCAATACACCGTTCCACAAGTTATTGTCTGAAAACTAGAAAAATGCTTATTTGGGCCCTTTTTTTGGCCACTAATTCCTAAACTGTTAGGACCATAACCACCAAAACCAATCCCAACCTTCCTTTTGTGGTTATAAACCTTGTATTTAAATTTCATAAATTTCTCAGTATTCACTAATACTAAAGTTATTGTCCGGAAACCAAGTGTCTTCGGACGACGACGACGACGATGACGTGATACCAATATACGACGACAAAATTTTTTTGCGGTCGTATAAAAAAAGTAAAAACGGAAAGCAACTGTCATATTCCTGAACGGATTCAGTATGTAGAATATGGTGGATTAACCCTGGTTTTATAGCAAGCTAAACCTCTCACTCGTATGGCAGTCGCATAGAATTCCATTATATCAACAACATGGTGTGAGCAAAACAAACAGACATAATAGGTAAAAATGTCAAAAAATGGAGTACAGCAGTCAACATTGTCTTATGATCTTAATCACTATAAAACAAATAACTATTTCAACATAGAAAAACAAAATAGCATAAAGACACTCTAAAAAAGACATTCTTAATCAAAACCAAAGTTCTCTTGCCATTAAAAAATACATGATGTTTTTCAAATACAAAATAACTCATTTAGGATTAAATGTCCTTTGATTAAAAAATAATTAAAAAAACATGTATATAAAAAGTTGCCTAAACAGCAATATGTACCGGCGCTGAGTAACATTTAGATTTACATGGATATGCATAAAATCATGATAATTGATTTTCCTGCCGAAGGTCGGTGGTTCTCTCCAGGCACTCCGGCTTCCTCCACCAATAGAAACTGACTGCCATGAAATAGCCGATAGTGCTAAAACACCAAACATCAATCAATCCATTTCAAATTCTAGTAGAGTTTATTACTTTTTATTCTGACCTTGTGTGTGAATCAAATGCAGAGAGGTTGGCCTTGTCGTCACTAGCACTGTGTATAGCACGTACTGAATAACAATTTGATTTCATGGACATGTTACCGCCTCGGTGGTTTCGTGGTAGCGTGTTCGCCTCGAGTGACGATGGATGCCAAGTGATGCGCATATAAAAGAAAAAAAGAAAGAAAAAAAGAAAGAAAAAAAAAAATAAGAAAAAAAAGAAAGAAAGAAAGAAAAAAGAGAGAAAAAAAAATTATCAAGATAAAAAAAAAGTGTTCGCCTCGAGGGCGGGAGGTCGTGGGTTCGAACACGGCTGGGCCGGTCAAACCAAAGACTTTAAATGACATGTCTTTCTGCGGACTGTTACCTTGAGAACTAGCAAGTTAGAAAATCGGCTCAGCGTGTCGGTCTAGTACAAAGCAGGGTTAATTTTCATAGTACAGTAACATGTTCTCGTCTTGAATATGCATATTAATTTGCCACTGGACGTTAAGCAGCCATCCATCATAATCACCATGGACATATTGATAATTGTTGCAAAATCCTTTAAAAATAATATTCCGATTCCGTTTAGATTACGTACGAGAGTGAAACACCCTCACGAGAAATTGTAGCAATTGTCTCTGAATTTTGTTTACCTATATATACCTTAATGTTATACATGGTTGCCGTGTAAGACTTTCACCGATGTTGTGTTTGTTGTGAGAAATTGCAGCATTTGTCTCTGAATTTTGTTTACCTATAGTATAATACAGAGACATATATACACACATATATATGTATAGGTCTCTGACCTATATATATATATATATATACCTTAATGTTATACATGGTTGCCGTGTAAGACTTTCACCGATGTTGTGTTTGTTTTCTGTTATCTAGCAACATTTGTACATAAAGATTATTTTCTTCTTACATGTATACGATGTTTTTGTTTCTAGCAAACCAAATATCTTAATCCTTAGTCATGGACAAAATTTTGATTTTGAAAATACCCTAAACGAAAAAACGTTAACCGAAAAAAGGAAAGGAATCACCATATTTATTTCAGTCACGAAAAACTAGGCTCATACATTTAAACCCGCTGCAATTGTTTGCACCTGTTCTAAGTCAGGACTCTGATGTTCAGTAGTTGTCGTTTGTTGATGTGGTTCATAAGTGTTTCTCGTTTCTCTTTTTTTATATAGATTAGACCGTTGGTTTTCCCGTTTGAATGGTTTTACACTAGTAATTTTTGGGGCCCTTTATAGCTTTCTGTGCGGTGTGAGCCAAGGGTCCGTGCGAAGACCGTACTTTGACCTATAAGGGTTTACTTTTATAAAACTTGGATGGAGAGTTGTCTCATTTCATGGCACTCATACCACATCTTCTTATATCTATGGAAAGATGATTATCAATATTTTGAGCCGGGAAAACTAATCGGTGTATAACTCCATGTGAAGTTACCAATATACAGGAATGTACGTATTTAGTGCTTTATTTCAAGCCTTCTAATCGACAAATTATCCTTCAGTTTGCACTGGCGAATAATAAAACATTACACGGTTTTCAAATTGTCGGAACTTGCTCGTATCCTTATTAGGGTGTGGATAGGGGGTTCACAGAATTGAGAATAATGGGCAAAAAATATAAAGAATAGAGAAAAAAGGACCAAAATAATAAAAGATAGAGAATAATGAGGTGCTAACATATAATGAATAGAGAAAAATGGCCTAAAAAATTAAAGAATAAAGAAATGAATTAAAGACCTCCCTTCCAGACCCTCCCTTATGATATAACAATAACACTTGTTTATATTTGCTGCCACTATATTCTTACCTTCCATGGCGCTTATTGTTTAAGGATAAAAAAAATAAAGACAGAACATATATAGGAGTCTCAGATTCAAAACATTTCGTTGGTAGGGATATCTGTGACCAATGTATAAAATTAAAAGATCAGCTGAAACACGTTCGATCATTTTATGACTGTGAAAAATACCTCTTACCAGATTCTTCGGTGTTAATTTATTTACTCTTGAAGATGTACTTTCATGTACTACGGTGACTGATATCCTCTTGTATTCGATCCACAAAACGAAAGTTCTGTTGTATTTATTCAATATTCAAAATAGTCCACACCTTATAAACAGGTTGGTATATCAAGATATATATATATATATATATTAGCTGGTATTTCAGGATTTCTGAATTCAAAAATAATCTTACCTATATAACTATCTTCTTGATACACCATGTAGTTAATTTCAGAGGAAATGAAATGAATTAGTTTGAAACTGTTGTAAATATATCTCTAAGTGCACTTTGTATAACATAACTTCCTGGTTAATATTTAAAAGTAGAATTTAAAGAATACGTTTTAATCCGGGTAGTGTTCACCTGGAAATACCGTAACAGTGATAATGTATCCATTTAAATTATTCCTTTGCACAACAATGCAATGGAAACCTGATCAGCTCCGATGGGGTTATAAAAGAAATAACAAATATATCGTGGGCACATTTAATTGTCAATATAAAAATAAGAAGATGTGGTATGATTGCCAATGAGACAACTCTCCATAAGAGACCAAATGACACAGAAATTGACAACTATAGGTAATCGTACGGCCTTCAACAATGAGCAGAGCAAAGTCCCCGTCGAAGCTTTCATACAAAACACTCAGTGTGCTGTATAGAATGTTCGATTGATGAAGTCTCTGGTTGATCAAATGATGAGCATTTATATAAAATGTGTTTTCAAGGTCCAGTAAAGTTGTTACAGGTATACATATGCATTTTGTGTCCGGGGATACACGGACACGTAGGTAAATAAATGAATACAAATCTAGTGGACACTAGTAAGTTATGTTTTGTCAAGTGATTTTGCAGAACTAAACATGCCTAGTTTTAGTATATGTAAGAGAATGATAATCCTTTTCTTCATGATTGAGTACGAGCGTTAGCGAGTATTTATCATGATGAAAGGGATTATCAATCTCTTACAAA